TCACTGACCGTAGTCCTCCCTGGTTAATGTTCATAGAGGTGCACGGTGTCGAAATAATTAATTAACATTTCCACTCCTTCCTCCGTCGTCGTCATCAATTGTCAGTCCATTTTCAGTCCACTGCTAAATGAAGCCCCGTCCCCCCCCCCCCCCGCCCAAAGCCATCATGTCATGATCAAAGTAATTCACTCAAGCACCTGCCCGAGAGGACACATTTCTTCGCTCCGTCACTTCTCGGGGAAACGTTCCATTCCTTCGGCTGGCTGGGTGGGGATCGCCGGAGCGGCGGCAACCCATTTATATTGGAAGTTAACTCTGCAACGTGTGCATGCGAGGCCCTGACGTCATTAGATCCAGCCAGCTGGTGCTTGTGGCGCAGGCCTCAATCGGAATTGGCAGCCGTGAGTTCACGTCCCTGCCTGGGGTAACTTACTTACGGGGGGGGGCCGGGGGGGAATATAACATGAGCACTGATTTCTTTGAAGTCAATTGTGGTAGTCCTGTGGGGAGACTGAGCCCTGCCATATGAATGTATTATATTTCACCAGTGGGTCAGGGTTCTCAACAGAGATGAGCTCGGAAAACTTTGACTTTTGATCGCACAGAATAATAATGGTAATAGTTATTGGCAATTGTTTTCAATACGTGGCTGGATGTGAGGAATCCCCACACCGCATCGGTCATGAGGGCCGTTTGACCATACTTCACCAGGCTGGTCAGTGCAGAATGGCAAAAGCGGGTGCAGGGCCGGTTCACTCGTCATTGACGTTAGTTGTGGTCGGGAATCAAACTTGGGTTGCTGCCTTAGTATCGTGCGGTACTAACCACTGCGCCACCGGTCCCCCCCCCCTCCTAACTTTACTTGTACGTGAAGGTAGCTCAATAGTCGAATGGCCATGACTTTTTGCCACAGACGTGGGTTCACAGTCAGATTTTGGGATGCCACGGTGGCTAGGAGATGTTAACTCCCTCGTCTGTTGTTGCAGGAGGTCGTGGGCTCAATCCTGACCCTGACGCCTGCCGTATATTTGGAATTTGCATGTCACTCTCCCCGTGGTCGCGTTGATTTTTCTCCTGGCCCTCCGGGTTTCCCCTCCGCGCGTATCGAAGCACACGCTTCGAGTGTTTGGCTGCGATACATTTCCACGCGATGAGCCAACTTTTTTTTGTCGAGGCACCATTTGTGATAGCCAGGTCACGTCTGAAAAAGTTTAGATTCCCACAGGCCGCCCGTGAACTTGTGCGGCGATAATTTCCAAAATTGCGACACCATCTCCTTGGTGTGAAGTGGAAGGAGAGAAGGGGGGGGGGGGTGGGGCACAAGGGGCTGTCGGCACCGCGGGCTGCCGTCACTGCGGGCTGCCAGCAACGACACCGCGTTGCCGGTGTTTGGACGTTCGTCCAGACGGACGCCGCCGCCAACGCCGCCACTCGTCTCGATGGCCCCCGTGCGGTGGGGGCACCGCTTGTTGAATTTCAAGGAGGCCCCCCCCCCATCCCCATGCTTTATTGAATATATTTTTTTAACGAGAGAAGGTAAGCGTCGCAAAAAAAAAACTGCATCCGAAGATGACGAGCACGGTGAACGTTTCAAACGACTCCGCGGTGTGGGAATGCTTGCGAGTGCCTGAAAATATATCGGTGCGTGTTGGAAGGCCGAGGCAGGATTCACAGTGAAGGCAAAGATCGTTTTCGTCAGCGGCAGCTAAACTTATCTATTTTTTTCTCTTCTCCCCACGTTCCTTTCTTCTTTTCATCTTTTTTTCAGTAATTTTTTTTCCCTGCTTGCAGGCACGGGTGTTTGAAGTCTGTGAACCAGTCTCGGGATTTTAAAAAAAGAAAAGAATTGTAAATAAATAAATAAGCAAAACACCACCACCAGTGCAGCTTTGAAATGTTGATAGAAAAAAAATATTTTCTATTTTGTTTTGATTTAATTTTTGAGGATTGTGCAAGAGTCTCTCTTGTTGTCGTTTGAAGCGCAACACTTTTATATAAGAGCTTTGCATGGTTTTGTTTTGCCTTGGTTGAGCCAATTTCCATCTCAACTTTGGAAATGAGTGCACTTCCATTGCATTGCGTCCCTGTGCGCGCGCGCGTGTGTGTACCTATAAAATGTGACGGTGTTGCGCTGCAAGCACCTTGTGTTAGGTCATGTGACGTGACAACTCGACGAGTTAATTACTATAAATACATTTCTCTCTTCTGCCTGTCAATTCCTGCTGCTTTGCGACCACTCGCTCATTCCATTTCCAGAGACCTCTCTGCAGGGAATTATCAACGTAACAAAAGACGGGCCTGTTGTGATAGTGAACATTACAGAATATTTATTTATACTGCAGGAATCCGATGAGCTATGAAGCTCTTTTTCACAGATGTCCACAGCATCGCATTTTGAGTAAATGATCGAGTCTGTACGGGTCTCATAGCCACAGTCTTACCTCCGGTATTATGATATGAACAATAACTTTTACAGAAAGGTGAAACCAAATTTTTTGTTTTACTTTTAGCGGGGTCCTGCTTTTCCGGTGTGTGCCCTTTACCTGTGCCATGTTTTTACAAATGAGAGACAAAGGGCAACCCAAGTAGAAGCTGGCATCTTGTACAATTGTTTACAATTAGTTCGCGATAACCCAGCCTCCCCGTGACGGGGACGATCTAGGCGATTATTACTTCGTTTTTTTATCGATTGCATATTCAAATGACAATTATTGATTGGCCGATGGAACTCGTTTTTGTTTCATAACGCCGAGATTGTTGCAGAGGTTCGCGGATCGTATCTAGCAGGTCTCCCTGGTTAATACTGCGAGTATATTAACTGTGTAATAGGCGCCGTACGCTGCACAGTGGACGTTCAGCATCCCCCTGATATCATCCGCGAGGAGCAGGGTTATGGTCCAAATTTGCCAACTTCAAAAAGTTACCCTCAAGTTACTCAAACGGGAAAGGCATACTGTGAGGGAAAAAAAGTATTTGATCCCCTGCTGATTTTGTACGTTTGCCCACTGACAAAGAAATTATCAGTCTATAATTTTAATGATAGGTTTATTTGAACAGTGAGAGACAGAATAGCAACAAAAAATTCCAGAAAAACGCATGTCAAAAATGTTATAAATTGATTTGCATTTTAATGAGGGAAATAAGTATTTGACCCCCTCTCAATCACCAAGTACTAAGTCATGCAAAACATGACTTAGTACTTGGTGGAAAAATCCTTGTTGGCAATCACAGAGGTCAGACGTTTCTTGTAGTTGGCCACCAGGTTTGCACACATCTCAGGAGGGATTTTGTCCAACTCCTCTTTGCAGATCTTCTCCAAGTCATTTAAGGTTTTGAGGCTGACGTTTGGCAACTCGAACCTTCAGCTCACTCCACAGATTTTCTATGGGATTAAGATCTGGAGACTGGCTAGGCCACTACAGGACCTTAATGTGCTTCTTCTTGAGCCACTCCTTTGTTGCCTTGGCCGTGTGTTTTGGGTCATTGTCATGCTGGAATACCCATCCACGACCCATTTTCAATGCCCTGGCTGAGGGAAGGAGGTTCTCACCTAAGATTTAACGGTACATGGCCCCGTCCATCGTCCCTTTGATGCGGTGAAGTTGTCCTGTCCCCTTAGCAGAAAAACACCCCCAAAGCATAATGTTTCCACCTCCATGTTTGACGGTGGGGATGGTGTTCTTGGGGTCATACGCAGCATTCCTCCTCCAAACATGGCGAGTTGAGTTGATGCCAAAGAGCTCCATTTTGGTCTCATCTGACCACAACACTTTCACCCAGTTGTCCTCTGAATTATTCAGATGTTCATTGGCAAACTTCAGACGGGCATGTATATGTGATTTCTTGAGCAGGGGGACCTTGCGGGCGGTGCAGGATTTCAGTCCTTCACGGCGTAGTGTGTTACCAATTGTTTTCTTGGTGACTATGGTCCCAGCTGCCTTGAGATCATTGACAAGATCCTCCCGTGTAGTTCTGGGCTGATTCCTCACCGTTCTCATGATCATTGCAACTCCACGAGGTGAGATCTTGCATGGAGCCCCAGGCCAAGGGAGATTGACAGTTCTTTTGTGTTTCTTCCATTTGCGAATAATCGCACCAACTATTGTCACCTTCTCACCAAGCTGCTTGGCAATGGTCTTGTAGCCCATTCCAGCCTTGTGTCGGTCTACAATTTTGTCCCTGACATCCATGGAGAGCTCTTTGGTCTTGGCCATGGTGGAGAGTTTGGAATCTGATTGATTGATTGCTTCTGTGGACAGGTGTCTTTTATACAGGTAACAAGCTGAGATTAGGAGCACTCCCTTTAAGAGTGTGCTCTTAATCTCAGCTCGTTGCCTGTATAAAAGACACCTGGAAGCCAGAAATCTTTCTGATTGAGAGGGGGTCAAATACTTATTTTCCTCATTAAAATGCAAATCAATGTATAACATTTTTGACAAGCGTTTTTCTGGATTTTTTTGTTGTTATTCTGTCTCTCGCTGTTCAAATAAACCTACCATTAAAATTATAGACTGATCATTTCTTTGTCAGTGGGCAAACGTACAAAATTAGCAGGGGATCAAATACTTTTTTCCCTCACTGTAGCGGTCGTCGTTCCCCCCCCCCCCCCCCCTCTTACTTTGTATACCAGGCGCTGCGTCGCCAAGGGCTGTCCTACATAGGGACAGCTGCCACTGGGGGCGCTTCGCAATGTTTGAGATGCGATGCAAGCCGTTTTGAGTTTGCTGAGGCAGTCGAAGCGAGCGTCGCATGAAATGCAGAGATTGTATGCATGCACTTTGTCGCGCACCGTACGTTGCCAACCATGCTAATCAGAGGTGCGGGAGAAAGGACAGCAATTTAAACACAATAAGCTTTTCTAAAGAAATTCGTTTTAAATCTAAATGAGTTTTCATTCCATTGTCACTTGTTAGCTTGTTGTGCTGCTGCTGCTGCTGCCGCCATGTATGTCCCACGCCTCTAAGCGTTTGCGTCTCTCGTTTGCGTCTCTCGCTGAGCAGGTTTATGCGCCGTCGCCATCGCAGGACGACTACAACCGCGAGTCCCCGGGGTTCCCCCCGGCAAAGCCGGCCTCGAGCATGTTCTCTGGGACGTACTTCATGCAAGGTGGGCGCGAGGGCCTTTCGCGAGGGCCTCTCGTGAGGGCCTCTCGTGAGGGTCTCTCTCCTGAGGGCCTTTCCTTCGGGCCAGTCGTGAAGGCCTCTCATGTGGGCACCACGTACAACATGCGCATGTGTGTTGAACTTTTTTCGCACTGTACGTAGTCAACGCCAAACGAGAACACTAAAAATGGGTTATAAAGAAATTTGTTTTCGCAATTTAGATTTCAAAGCAGCATAGCTCGAGAGAGACACCCGCCACTATCCACTCAAGGGCCTCTCCTGAGCTTCCCTCTATAGCCGAGACCCTTTCTGCCGGCACCATCAGCGAGCGCGTGCGGGGAAACCCATTGCAGGGCCGCGCTTTTTTTACCCTCGCAGCAGTCGAACCTTAAACTTCCGCGCACACGACGACCTCGGTGGTGAGCGTGGTGCAGGCCCCCTCCCTGGGCGGGGAGGGAGGTTTTCTTCACCGCGGACAGAAACGGGATATCCGATTGCAGTCGGTTTGACTTGAAATGTTGGCTGGGTTTAAGATAAAATAAAAACAATTCTAAGAGTTATCCGCTTACAAATCTATCCCCCCTCCCTCTCCGCCCCGGCCAAAAAAAAATATATCGCAACGGCTGTGGGTCGTTGCACTTGTGAATTGCGTGACGTATGTTGTTACTTATAACAAGTGGCGGAAGGAGGGGGGGGGGGCTTCAAGGAAATGAGCAAAAAAGCAACGGTGTTAGTAAATTCTCCAGCTGCATGTGGTTACGTAATCGCCCGCGCGGTCCCGTTCATTCTCCACCAGTCCGCTGCACTTTGTTTTGCCTTTTAACCGCTTGATGAGAGGGCCCCATTGCTTAATGAGAGGGCCCATTGCGGCTGCAACAATGGCGTTCCGTTTTACAAGCGAGGCCGCGTTTTAAACACAGAGATGATTACAGAAAACAATTGGTGAGCAGTGTGTGTGTGTGTGTGCAAGAGAGAAAAAAATGGTTGTAGAAAGTACTCAGCCGAAAAAAATGTGCCCCGAACGCAATCATAATGGATGGGAGAGGGGGGGGGGGTAATGGCTGACGATGATGAAGATAAGGATCGCTGTGAAATGTCCGCTTCCCCGATTCGATTGGAATGTCATTCCCGGAAGTCGGCTTTTGTCTTAAAAATATGCCCAGAATTTGTTTCCCTAACCTTATTTCAAGCAGGCAGCACACAAAAAAGAAGGGAAAAGAAGCCGGTTTATTTGTCTTTGAAGTGAAAATAAACCACCCCCCCCTTTACGTGGACGGCCAAAGGGAAGTCTGGAATGTCACAAATCGTGCGAAACGCTCCGGAGTTGGACTGAAGCGTGCGGACAGGGCGCAGGGAGGGACGCACGCTCGTCTCGAACAATGTCTCAAAGTGTCCCGAGTGTGAAACGCACAGCGCTGTGGTGCGTTTCGTTTGTTTTTACAAAAATATGATTCAGCAAATTGCGAGACAACCCCCCCCCCCCCCCCCCCCCCACCACCACTCCCTGCGTCCTTTGTGGATTTTAAAATCACAGACAACCTCACCTAAATCAGTACCTGGTGCGGTGTGTAAACATCGCCTCTGGGGAGACGAAGGCGTCCCGGTGTGGTGTTGGCCCACCCACCCCCTCGTGTGCAGTGCCGGCCTTCAGAGGTGCTACTCGCTAACAGCACTTGCCCCAACAGTCTGTTAAGGCTATTCAGGAGACCTTTGTCCGTGCGTTTACACGTGTAATTTACGTGCGTGTGTTCGTGTGCAGTAGCACGGTCTTGTTTGTCTGCTCATCTGTTGTCTGCCCGCGCCCGTGTCTGTTCCCGCTTTGCCCGACGATGGATACAGACGGGCCTCACGTTCCTAATGAGCTGTGGCCCCCCACAAACGGGATGAACCATTCTGGCTATGGAGGGGTCCTGGGGGGCCCCCCGGCGCACGTGGCGCAGTCAGCGGGGGGATACGGCCCGGGGATGCACCCCCACGAGCGGCTGGTGAGTGACCCCGCCAGCTTCTCCCCTCACACCTGGTGTCGCGTGTCACGTGCGTGTGTTGTTGTTGTTCGTGTCGGTCAACCCATGGCACCTGGGTCTATGCTGTGACTTTGTGCCGGCGGGCGTTTCGAAACTTCACGTGGCTTTAACACGCACGTAGCCTGGCGCAAGCGCCGTGGTGACGTCACCGCCACGTAGTGGCGAATGGCGGTTGTTGTTGTGTTGCGCTGCGCGTCTTTCCAGCGTGTGCCCTGCTTGCGTTGTATGTGCTGAGCGCGGGAGCGGTAGTGTAGCGGTTAGTTCGATTCCCGCTCACTGCCACCTACACCAGTGACGATTATCTGAACCGGTTATGGGCTTCCCCAAGGTCGACTCAGCCTCAAATGAGTACCTGGTGCGATGTGTAAACATTGCCACTAGGGAGACAAAGGCGGTCGGGCGTGGTGCTGGCCACCCACCCCCTCGTGTACCGTGCCGGCCTTTTTGTTCTGATCTGCCACGGAAACGGTGTGTTTTTATTCATGAAACCCGACGTAAGATCTTGTTAGCTCACGGTGTACTTCAAAGTAGACTGAACTCAATTGAACTTAGGTGCTCACAGACAACACTTGCCCCGACAGTCGGTTAAGGCTATATGTGGGATCGTTGTTGTCGTCGTTGTGTGTGTGTGTGTCGTGCATCTTCCCAGCGTGTGTCCTGCTTGCGTTGTGTGTGCTGAGTGCGTTGTGTCCCCGCCCCCTCCCCCGTTTGTGCACGCCTTGGCTACCGCGAGTCGTCCGCGTCTTTCGTTTGCGTCTCCTGCGTGTCGTGTGCATCCCACGTGCGCCCCATCTATCGCGCGTGCGTCTTGTGTTGCTCCGCGTCATAACGTGTGCGCGTGTCCGAGTTGTCTGTCGTTCGTCGCGCTCGTGTTCCGTGTTCTGGCTGGCGTTGTACCGCGTCCTGTGTGCCTCCCATGCGCCCCTAACCGCGTGCGACCCTGCGACCCTGTGCCCCGCCCGTTTCTCAGTCGCAGGGATACCCGGGCCGCTCGGTGTCTCCGGTCGACATGAACCCCACCCTGCCGCCCATGAGCAGCTTCCACAGGGGGGCGGGCGGTGGTGGCGGCGGCGGCGGCCCCTCCATGCAGCAGGGCGGCCCCCCGTCCTCGTACGGCCCCGGCTCGGCGCGCACCCCCCCAATCAACGGCTCCGACGCCATCATGGGTAAGCGTGTGACCGGGCGGTCACGTTGGCGGTACCCCCCCCCCCACCCCGCACGCCGTCCCGGTGCGCACCCCGCGTTCGCACCACCGTGGGGAAGGGCGCCGATCAGGGTCACGAATGGACGAATCGTGCTCCGTACCGAGCGGCTCGCGTTCGTGAGCGGCCCCCGCTCCTCTCTGTCTCCTCTCTCTCTCTTTTGCCCCGGGCTCCCCTCGGGCAGCGGCCGTGACCTCACGGGGTCAGCATGCAGGAAACGGCACTCGTAGTCAGGTGCCCCCGTCAAGCACTCATTTCATGCCGAGCTGACCTAGTGGAGGCCCGGGATTCAGAGTGTGGCTCCCCCGCAGCTCCTCGCCAACCGCGGTCGGCTCCACGCGAGCGAGCACTCGCTGGCAACAAAGGGGCACCAGTTCTACCAGACCTTCTCAATTACCCACGTTTTTTTTCTTTCTGGATTTATAAACAAGTTGGACTGTGGCCAGCAAGTATCACCAGAAGAAAGCAATAAAGAAATTGAGGGAAAGAATCAAAACGTTGTTGAGGTTTAGTTCAAGGATGATATTGAGCAGACGGTTTTAATCTGAGCGGGGCATAGGGAAGCGGTAAGGCCTGTCAATACGCGTACACTGCTTCGTGCGCAAATATAACCCTGACAAGCCATTGCAAGAAGTGAACGCCCAAAAGTTCGACGCAACCCGAAACGCACGGAAAATATCTCGCCGCCGTTACGTTTGTGCTGCTGCGTTGGCTCTCGGATGGCCCATGGAGGTCCCGCTGGCACCTCCCAACATGCACGTGCCGAGAGCTCGCCCGTCGTGTCTTCTACAGCGGACAAGCGGCGTAGGCCATGACGGGCCAATCCTTGCGTGCTTCGAACCGGATGTAGATCGTGTGGCCGTGCACTCAATCCATGGGCCCCCCCCCCTATCGTGGTAGCGTCCTCACCGGAACCCGGGGGGGGGGTCGCCCTCGCAACGGAAGCGATGTTGATCCGTGCGTCTCAAAGCGTTAATTTAATCTCCTGGTTAAACGAAGGGTGCGACAAGCACGCCCGTGGTTCACCTTTTCCCGTTCCTAGACGACTGCAGGTGGCCGCAGGGTGGGTGTCCCGTTCACCGCTAAATCTTGGAACGCGCAAGCGGGCAAGCGGTTCAGCGTTAATTAAATTTAGAGAGGCGTAGCGCCGTTGTTTTTTTAAAGGCATCGTACTCGCCAAAGAGAACCGTAGCGACACGACCGCCGCTCTACGATAGCTGCCCCCCCCTCCTCCCTCGCACTGCCGCGAGATGTCGCAGCAGGAAATCCCGCGAGCGCCAAGGCGCGCTCGCCACTGGCAAGGAAGTTTTTGACGGTGGTGGACGGGAGTGGAACAGAAGAAGGAGAACAACAACAAGGTCGTCCTGTTCTTGTTTTTTTTTCTTGAAACCTGGAGGGCACGAACGAAGATCGCTTACAATGTCCTTCGACTGCGGTTCAGTCAACACAAAGCTTGCCGCCCACGAGTCTTCTAATCGTCGCAAGTTTGCATTCTGAAACGTCGATTCCCGTAGCACACTTTTTGGCAGTTCCATAATAATGAATTAATCAAATCGACCGCGGAAACGATGAAGTCATGCAGCCATCATGCAGCCAATTGCTCCGGAAAACGTTTTACAATGCACTAATTTATTGGGTAATAGCTGTGCTTGTTACTTTCATTATTGTGAACTTTTAACGACTGTTATTTCATAAATATTTTGTCAGGAAATGAAATATTTTAGGAAAACCAAACAAGCAGCGACAATCACGAACCGACGAAATCGCTCGCGTTAATGCCGGTCCTCAACTCCCTTCACTGACCTGCACTGACCAGCGTGGTGAAGTATGGATAAACAGACCATTGTGGTCAACCCGGCATGAGGAGTCCCGTCATCCAGCAGCGGATTGCGAAAAAGGCTGAAATTATTCAATTTGTTAATCAGAACTCTTGCGACCAAGTATCGGCATGCACCTTTTGCATGCTGGGAAATTGGCCCCGGCCGTGCGATTTTCCTGCAGGCGATCGTCCCCTGATGGTGTCAGCGGTGCTCTTTGCCCGCAAGGTTGAAGCGCTTCCATCGGCAGCAGCGGCCCTCGCTCGCGAAGTGAGGGGGGGCCCTGTGTGAGCGTGTACGGGGGAGAGTCGCGTTGGACGCGCACTCTGCTCATGCCCCCGTGTGCGGTTGAAGCGAATGAAGTCCGGTGGGAATGGGCAGGACGCGTCACGTCGAACAACCGACGAGAGACGAGGGACAAAAAACTCCCGAGCGGAGGCCGAGAGAAAGGAAGCAGAGGAAGCCGGCCGGAGAGGTGGCAGCTGCGGGACGAATTCATAGTTCGGAGGTCAACCGAGGAAAGGAAGGAGTGATAGAAAATGGGGGAGAGGCCATTCGCTCAGCAGTAGGAAGTCACAGGCTGACAACAATGTGTGTGTGTGTGTGTGCACGTGTGTGGGGAGCGGTTGCGTAACGCTGTGAACCCGGCAACCCGAGTTCAATTTCTGCTCACGGTCAACGCCGGTGACAATTATGTGAACCGGTCCTGGGCCTCCCCTAGGTCAACTTAACCTCAAATGAGTACCTGGTGCAGTGCGTAAACATCGCCACTGAAGAGACAAAAGGCGGCCGGGCGTGGTGCTGGCCACCCACACCCCCCTCGTGTGCCGTGCCGGCCTTCATAGGTGCTCTCTAACAGCACTTGCCCCAACAGTCTGTTAACGCTATACGGGGGATCCTTGTCTTTGTGCGCACGCGTGTGCGTAGGTAACAGGCCGGGTGGGGCGAGCGGAAGCTCACAGACTGGCGACGCTCTGGGAAAAGCTCTGGCGTCGGTGAGTTTGCGCACGCACGCACACACACGCACACACACGCACACGCACGCACACACGCACACACGCACGCACACACGCACGCACACACGCACACAGGCACATCCGCACGCACGCACACAGGCACATCCGCACGCACACACCCACACAAGCAGCGCCGTGTGGGCCCGGCATTCCTCGCAGAGCTCCCACAATGTGTTCCCCATGTATGACCACCTACGCATACAATTAACATTAAAGTAAGTGGGTAACGGGATTTGTTGAAAGGGCTGGAAGGAAATAACTTTTGGCTTCACGGGCTGATGGGCGCTTCTGATTATAACGTTTCTCGGTATCGTTTTGTGTCGAGCAGAAAGCGTTGTGCTTTGACTTCACTCGATGAAGTCGATTTGGCACGGCGTGGTATCGCAAAGCAAATCGTCCAACTCAGCTGTAATCTGCTTATTTAAATCCAAACTTGTCGCGACCAAACAGCTTCTAATAATCCTGCTTTCATTTCGGCGAGGGGAATTAATGTTACTTTTACCATTACGGGCGTAAGGGTGGCGCCGTGACAACACTTCACAGCAAGAATATCCTGGGTTTGACACCCAACTGGGGTGGGGGTGCCTTTCTGCGTGGAGTTTGTACGTTCTCCATCCTGTTCTGCATGGGTTTCCTCCGGGTTCGTCGTTATCCTCCCATAGCTGTTAAAAAAAAACATACGTACAATGTTACTGCTAATGGCAAAGCATCCCGATGCTTGCAAATGACTCAATTGGGATCGCATGCAGCACGCAGCAGCGTTGCCTGCCTGTGAAAACTTGGCCGGACCCTCCTGAAAGAGCCTTGAGACCCCCGTGAGGCTTCCTGGGTAAACAAGCGGTAGTAGTAATAATAAAATAAGAATTGTTAAGAAAAGGCTCACTCATTCTCAAGACTGTAACTCATTCATAAGGGAGTCTGCTTGGTTAATATTTATAGTTTAGTATTTTGCTTTTTTCCCCACAGGCGGATGCTTATTTATTATATATGTTTGTGGACAGATACATTAAAGCAAAGATTATATTCCCAAATCGTTTTTTTAATTACTCTGAAATAAATAAACAAACCAGGCCTAGAAATTTCAGATGATCTTCAAACATTTTTCTTGCTTATTGTTCCTAAAATATGTCGTCATCACAGGAAGTGATGTCATTTACATGTCCTCATAGGAAATGATGGCACATTTGCGTGGCATCGCTCCCGTGTTTGTCCCGGCACGAGTGCGGTCGGGTGACACCATTTTGACGACGCGTGACGTCCATTCTTCTCAATTTAAAATATTAAATGTTTTCGTTACAATTATTATTTACGTAAAACAATGTAAATCAGCGACTTACATTCAATGCTGTTAAACCTATTCAGGTTATTCAGGTTTAGCAGCAGTGACCGCCAGTAGATAACAATGCAATCATTATATTGGTCAATTGCATAATTCATCCAAATTGCATAAAAAAAAAGCCCGTAGAATTTATAACGCACGGATTTCCGCGTAGGAAACCACAAGGCAAGCGAGAAGGCAGCCAGACCCCGTGCCAACAATTGCCCAAGTTCTGTTGTCCTATATGTTCGGCCAACTGATCCAGGCTTGATGACGCTCGCCTGTAAATGCAGTGCTCTGGAGGCAGTCTCGGTCGATCAAACCCATTTCGCCCTGCGCCGTGAAAGCTCCCCCAACGTACGAGCACGGCTGCTGCGGCATGCATGCATGTACGTACGTCGAACTGCTTTCGCGCACCGTACGTAGCCAACCGTGCTAATCGGAGGTGCGACATCAGCGCGGAAGGCAAGCGTGGGGGTGCGTGGCGCACACGGCACAGCTATGCGGGTTGCATCCTGGTGCCCGCTCAGGGTTTTCTGCGTCTGCGCAACTATTTTCTCCCACACGTAAAAAGGCCCGCTAAAGAGTGAAAATTACCAAGCATCGTAATTTATAGGACTCTTGTGAAATGGGTCACGTGAGACCTTAGTGGATGATATATGGCATTGTTATTGTTATCGCTACCGCAGTGGATGGAGCAACAACAGCAAGCAAGTAACAGCAGCAAGGATGTATTGCGCAGAAGAGGGGCATGCTAATTGGAGATGGAGTGTTTAAGTTTGGACCGTCGTGGCTGACAGATCTCAAGCCCCCAAAAAGGCTGCGGCCTCTGGGATCAGTTTTGGAAAAAAAAAATAGTTGAGCAGTCGATTGCCAACGTCTGATGACATTCACGTTTTTGATAATAGCAGTGGCCATCCTTTTCAGTGATTAACTCGGTCGCCTCGTTCATTGGACGCGTTATTAATTTTTGTTAGTTTTTTTACGCTAATGGTGTTTGTGCAGCAGCGACGGTGGGCTCCGGGGTGCTCATTGCTTCGTAAAAGCCTCGCTTTTTCCAAGCTTCCCTTTCTTCAAATTCGTCTAAACGGTGAAACCGTGTTATGAGCACCATTATTGCCGCTCAGATGGAGCACACGGCTCGCTTTAGAGTTTCTTTTAAGAGCAAAAGACCTACCCCCCCCCCCCCACATTAAATTGAACTTGAGCCAAGATTTTCCCTCTTTGGCCAGGCTTCGTAATTGATGAGCCTGTCTGAAAAAGAAAAAAAACGGGAGGGAAGAAACATCTGGTGCAATTCAGCAGCCGCGCTGAGCGCCAACTCAAACCAGTTTTAAGACACCGTGATTGATACCGGCTGCGGCGCTTTCATATACACGGCTCTACGCAGTACAGTGTGCACATTTGTATTTTGCGAGCCAGTGGGGTTGTGTGTACGCGTGTGTGTGTGTCAAGTTTGTGCTCATGTGTGTACGGGTGTGGGGGGGTGTGTGTGGGGAGCGGTAGTGTCGCGGTTAGCGCGTCGCGCTACGAACCCGGCGACCCGAGTTGGATTCCCGCACACAGCCAACACCGGTGACGATTATCTGAATCGGTCGTGGGCCTCCCCTGGGTCGACTCAGCCTCAAATTAATGCCTGGTGCGGTGTGTAAACATCACTTTTGTCGAGACAAAGGCGGCTGAGCGTGGTGCTGGCCACCCGTCCCCTCGTGTGCCGTGCTGGCCTTCATCGATGCCATTCGCTAACAGCACTTGCCCCAGCAATCTGTTAAGGCCGTGGACAACGTCAGTGGCAAGCGAACTGTGGAATTGTTCCTGGGCCTCTCCATAGTTTACTCAGCCTCAAACAACTACCGGGTGCAGTTTGTAACATCAGCAACGGGGAGGCTAAGGTGGTCCGGCGTAGTGCAGGCTACATCACCCCCTTGTGTGCCATTCTAACCGTAACAGGTGCTCGCTAACACCTTAATGTGCCTGCACGTCGAGCTGCAGTTCGCTTGGTGCGGAGGGCAGCGAAACTGGTGAGCGCGGCAGCGCACTGCGATGCCGCTGGCGCTGCGCGAGACTCTGGTCTGGGCTCGGCGTCGGTGGAAATCGACGTTCGAACCCAGCCTGGGTCTCTCCTGTCGACTTGGCCGAACACAAAGGCTCCCATGCTTTCCCGTCTCTGCTAGGGAGGCGAAGGCACACGCGTGCGCGCTCGCGCACCAGCGGTTGTGGTAGATATGCCAGCCTTGCTTGATAAATACATCAATAGCCCGCAAGGTCGCTTGTGGCATGAGAAGGCATTTATCCAGTGTGGTTTGACAAACGGCGGCTAAAAAATATATCATCGCCGTCTTGTGCATGTATGGACATGTCTGCGGAATTAACTGTCTTATGTAAGTGTACGTTCATATTTCTGACATCTTAAAAAATTAATACCCCAAAAGAATGCATAGTTACACATGAGCAGTTATACATCAGTTGTTGTTGTGGAAAGAAGATAAGTAAATAAAAACGTGGGTGGTTGGGTGGGCAACGTTCTGTGGATACCGTTCGTTGACAGTTCCTTGCATGTGTGTGTGTGCGCTTGTGTGTGTGTGCGTGTGTGTGTGCGTGTGTGTGTGCGCACGCGCGTGTGTGTGTGCGTGTGTCCCCCGACCCACTCCCTCTCCTCTGCCATCGCAGATTTATTCTCCCGACCACACCAACAGCAGCTTCCCATCAAACCCCTCCACGCCCATCGAGTCTCCCCCTCCACTCACCGGTAAGAGAGCCCACGTGCCCACGTGCCCACGTGCCCACGTCTGCCCTTGTGGTGCCCATTCCACGGCAGTTGTCCTATGGATGGACTCACCCCTGCCATTGGATTGTGGAATCTCCTCTACTGGCTGGGGGATGCATTGGTTTTATTTTGCATTGAGCCGTGAGTTGCGTTCTGTCTCACCACTGGTTTTTAACAGGAATGCCACAAACGCAACTCAAAACATCTATGGCGGCCCTTTTTGCCGGCTTCAAGATGATGAAAAAAGTGTAGGCTTTACCCCCTTCTGGCAGGACTACAGGAGGAGGTGTTAAGGTGTTCAAACACCAAATAGACACCCATTACAAGGTATTAAGTCTGTTTCAAGGACAGCGCATACATTGCTGAAACGTAAGTGTTTGCATGTTTCACCACAAGTATGTGTGGTTAATGCCGACTTGACGCCTGGTAATAATAGGTGTCTGTTTGGTGTTTGAACATCTTAATACCTCCTGTATTGTTGCCAGAGTAAACTTCTAATATGTTCGCCACGCTCGTAAGAGTGTGGCCTTCATATTGGCGGCCGAGACGTTTGTTGAAATTGTACATTGACGTGGCAGGGGTCGAGTCTGCGCTGACCCAACTCCGGAACCCCTCGATGAATGTGGCGGCGGCCTTTCCAGTTTCCGCTCGATTTTTTGTGATCTGGACAATGCCACGTGGCATTACATTGAACGTGTGTGAAAAAGAGCCTTGTAGCTCATCCGGATTCCTCCAGAAGGAGAAAAAATATTCCGATTATGATATTGGGCGGCCAGTGCCTTGCAGTGAGTGGGTCCTGGGTCCGAATCCTGAATGCGGTGCCTGTCTGTCTGAAGTTTGATGTTCCCCGCCCGCTGTTCTTCATGGGTTTCCTCCTTGTTCTCCCTCGCACAGTTTATAAACACGCTGCATGACTGGTATTGGCTGAATATCCCAAATGCAAAAAATAAATAGGCCTCTAAATTACTCATTTGGGATTACACAGCAGCAGCAAGTTGAGTTTCGTCTCACGATACGGACGGCACAAGATGTTGCGCCTCTTTGAAGTGCAAACGTGACGCTCCGCAAGGCGGTGGGGTGAGGCGGTTGTGAAGGGTCAGGTGGGGGAAATGTCTGCCGTTGTTCCTACGGTCGTATATCTCTGCAGGAGTTGTCATGCGGGGGACGGTGGGGGTGTGTTGGCGCGCGTACGAGTTGGCACGTGCATTGGCACGTGCGTACGCATGCTCTCGTGGGTGAGCGCAGCCTGGCCTATCCTCAGACTCTTGTCCAAGCGCCCGTCGGAGAACAGCCCCGTTCAGGCTCTTGTTGTCAGAATAGCAATGTTTATTTGTACTGGGGGAATCCAGTGAGCTGTAAAGCTCTTTTTCGCAGATGTTCAGTAGTGGCGGGTCAGAATATTACAACATAAAACCAAACAAGGACATGATAGGAGTGCATAGTATAGGAAAGGTAAGAAAATCACTGAAAAAAATGTTTTTAGCATTGTTTGTGTTGGGAAAATGAGACTGGGGCTGTGCTGGAGAGAGAGTACATTGGGAGATGGTCATATCACGACGACATTGGGAGATGGTCCTATCACGATGACATTGGGAGATGGTTCTATCACGACCACATTGGGAGATGGTTCTATCACGACCACATTGGGAGATGGTTCTATCACGACGACATTAATAGATGGTTCTATCACGACGCCATTGGGAGATGGTCCTATCACGACGACATTGGGAGATGGTTCTATCACGACGACATTGGGAGATGGTTCTATCACGACGACATTGGGAGATGGTCCTATCACGACAACATTGGTAGATGGTCCTATCACGACATTGGGAGATGGTTCTATCACGACGACATTGGGAGATGGTTCTATCACAACGACATTGGGAGATGGTCCTATCACGACAACATTGGGAGATGGTCCTATCACGATGACATTGGGAGATGGTTCTATCACGACGACATTGTGAGATGGTTCTATCACGACATTGGGAGATGGTTCTATCACGACGACATTGGGAGATGGTTCTATCACGACAACATTAGGAGATGGTTCTATCATGACAACATTGGGAGATGGTTCTATCACGACGACATTGGGAGATGGTCCTATCACGACGACATTGGGAGATGGTTCTATCACGACGACATTAATAGATGGTTCTATCACGACGACATTGGGAGATGGTTCTATCACGACATTGGGAGATGGTTCTATCACGACGACATTGGGAGATGGTTCTATCACGACAACATTAGGAGATGGTTCTATCATGACGACATTGGGAGATGGTTCTATCACGACGAAATTGGGAGATGGTCCTATCACGACAACATTGGGAGATGGTCCTATCACGATGACATTGGGAGATGGTTCTATCACGACATTGGGAGATGGTTCTATCACGACGACATTGGGAGATGGTTCTATCACGACAACATTAGGAGATGGTTCTATCATGACGACATTGGGAGATGGTTCTATCACGACGACATTGGGAGATGGTCCTATCACGACGACATTGGGAGATGGTTCTATCACGACATTGGGAGATGGTTCTATCACGACGACATTGGGAGATGGTTCTATCACGACGACATTGGGAGATGGTCCTATCATGAGAACAGAGGTGTCAGAGGAGAGCTGGGTACCGTGACTGCAGCGAAAGAGAGAGAGCATCATCGCATCCACGTCCTGCTGGCTCTAGACCCGTGTGGTTACCACCACCCCTTTCCTCACCCCTCCCCGCCGCCGCCACCTTCTGTTGCCGCGTTCATTCAAAATGTACGCTTCATTGAAAGGCGGGGGGCGCGGGGGGCCCGGGCTCATGGTTATTGGTGGATGTTGTGGGCAGGAGGAGAGCTTTGCGGGGACAACGATGACTGCCGGTCATGGTCGCGGGAAGAAGTAGTGGGGGGGGGGGGTGGTTGTGGGGGGGGGGTGGTTCTGGGGGGGCTTTTTTTTTTTAAACCGTAAAAACCATTGGCAGCGCTTTAAAGGAACCCACAGCTGCGTTAAGTTTGCCGTACGTGAGCGTTGCTGCGAGCGCTGACGGTCATGGCGCCGCACGGCTCCCATGCTGCCGGGGGGGGTTTCGTTCCCCACCTGCGACCGTGGTTCCCCCGTTGTCGTCCCTCTCTCTTCTCTTTTAGTTCCCCGCCTCCCCCCACCACCACCCCCACCTCGTTCTGTTTGATAATATTTTTTTCCCCCCCTTTTTTTATTGAGCTGAAAATTTAAACCAGGCCTTTAGCCCACCAGCCCCAGCCAGCCCCTCCCCCCCCCCCCCGCCCTTTCCCCACCCGCTTCATGCCTCCGTAATTCGATTAGAAATCCATACAGCTCTGAGCCACGCTGCTTGGAGCCACGGTTGTGCGTTTGAAAACCGATGGAGATGGTCTAAATGCACCTTGCGTTCGTGGAGCGCGTGTGCGTAACTCCACTTGGAGTTGACGTCGGGGTGCTTTCGGTGGTTAGTCGACGAATGATATGAATATATAATGAGCACTCTCGACGCGGATTCCTTTCATGAACAAGCATCCAGATCACACGCAGAGCAGCGACGATCGCACACAGCGGCACGCGGACGATCATTATTATTGCGCGCTCATCTAGCCATGGATGTATATTTTTCAAATTCCACGTGCAGTTTCTAAGCGCGCAAATAGAAAGCATGCTTTAAAATAGTTTTTAATGTATATACTGTACCATTTTTGGCGCCTAATCAATGTACTGTGACCTGGAAGCATGCGCTTTAAGAGACCTCAAATGGCAACGTGAATTACCTCCACAGTGACCTCTATGTTCACTCGCTCTATTACCTAGCGCAATTGCGACGTGACTGCGCGGGAGGAAATGCGGGGTGTGGAGGTTGAGCGAGGGTTGGTGCATCACACAGAGATGGAACCAGTGTGCCTATGTGACTCCCACCTGCAGGACATTCAAAACTAAAAGTAAATATTTTAAAAAATATTTTACCAAGTAAGGCCCACTGCGCTATATAGCTCTTTTTCAGAAGCAACCTGGTCACAAATGATTGCTCAACGAAGCGGCTTATCACGTGGAAATTTATAGCAGCCAAACCCTCTAAATGCACGTTGCTTCTAAATGTGAAGGGAAAAACCGGAGGACCCGGAGAAAAATCCACGTGACCACGGGGAGAACATGCAAACTCCAAATATACAGCAGGCATCAGGGTCGGGATCGACCCTGACCCTAACAGGCGAGGGAGTTAGCATTTCGCCACCACGGCGGGAGTGCAGTGAGTAGGTTTATGGCCTACCTGTGTAAGGCCTGTAAGAGTTTTCTCCAATATTTCCCATTTATCCCACGATAATTAGAGATGTACCAAACGTCCAAAAGCTGGTTCCTGTTTAATAAAAGTTTAGAGGTTTGAATGAGACGTTTTTGAGTCAATCCAGCGCAATATATTTACAGTTACCCCACTCAAATGATAGGGAGACATCGTAGAGAAAACAACGTTTTCCTTCAAAGCCTCTAAATCTGCCACCAATCTCAAAACCATTATTAAACATCTCTAAGATATGAACCTTTCCTTTAACAATATTCAGTCACCTCCTTGAGAAGAGAGGAAGACGATCTTAAGAAATCAGCGGTGTAGCTGTAAATGGATCGCGCTGTCTGTATGCACTTATATTCACGTGTGAAGTCAAAGCCGCGTTGTGTGTCACCGCAGTGGCCCCTGCTTCGTGGCAACGAGCTTCATCTCAAGGACCGTCGTCTCCCAACTACGAGAGCTCTCTCCACACCCTGGTGAGTCCCAGTTCGAGTACGGGGTCTGTCCCCACGCTGGCGCGGTGGCCGGTTAGAACTGTCGTGCCGTCTTGGAGAGCGCGGGGGTTCAGCGCGTTAGCGGCCGAGTTAACTTCACACGGAGTGGAGCTTGCAATCTTCACTGCCTGGTAATGTCTCCGGGGGGGCGGGGGGGGGGGAAGGGTTATTTGATTTACGATAAAAAGAGACGTCGTTCGCATGGGCGGAGGGCCCCTTTTGCGTGCCCGTGTCGTCGTGCAAGTCTGAAATGTGACATTTCTTTGCGACAGCTCGTAGCGCTCGTCGCTGCGCAGCCGCGACTTCCCGTGTCTCCCTCGCTGACGTGACCGAGGCCGTCACTGGGCCCCTCGGCCTTTTCACACCGAGAGCATTGACGGCCCGTGGCAGCAGTCGGCAAGAATGTTTGGCTGGTGTGGTGGCTGCGGCCCACGCCAAGAGAACCACGCCAGCACTGCTCATTCATTCGTTCGGAAATAAGTGAATAATGCGCACGATTTGAAACTTGTATGGGACATTCAGAGGTGTGGAAACTGCTGGCAAGCAGTTGGAGTTGAGCGCATTTTGCAAGCGGCGAATTAAATCGTCCCAGCCCAGTTGATTATACACGAAAAAAACAAAGATCCCCCGTATATATTCTTGGTTCTTTCGGTAAAGTCACGTAGAAAGGAAACAATAAAATAATAAAAAGTATAAAGCAATAAAATTATCACGACGTTTCGACTGTGCAATGATTGCTTGTGTTGCAGTCGAAACGTCGTGAGAATTTTATTGTTTTATATTTGTATTATTTTATTGTTTCCCTTGTACGTGATTTTACCGAAAGAACCAAGAATATGAATCCCTGCAGTAACGAATGCTTTAAATCAAAATTTAAAAATCCCCCGTATAGCCTGAACAGACTGTTGGGGAAAGTGCTGCTTGCAAGCACCTATGAAGGCCGGCATTTCACACGAGGGGGTGGGTAGCCAGCATCACGCCCGACCGCCTTTGTCTCCCCAGTGGCGATATTTACACATTGCACCAGGTGCTCATTTGAGGCTGAGTCGACCTAGGGGAAGCCCAGGACCGGTTCAGATAATCGTCACTTGTGTTGGCCGTGAGCGGGAATCGAACTCGGGTCGCCGGGTTCATAGGGCAGCGAAGCGCTAACAGCTACACACACACACAGTAACACGCGCGTACACGCACGATGTATGCAGTAATTGTGAACGTGCACTTAAGGGAATGCACACAAACACACACACGCCTGCGCTGGCACAAGTACAAACTCAGCACCTTCGTCATTAATGTTGCCGAACAGAATAACAAAATAATGTACAGTGTAGCAATGGACCTCCGTTGCGTGCGTCCTGTGAAGAATGGCCCATCGCCAAGGAACTTTGGGCTACGATGTAAAATTTTCTGATGCAAGGCACTCGCTAGTAGGAGTGACGACAGCGATTTGTGTACGTACGGTTGTGCGTTTAGTTATAACGCTTAATTTGACCGTCCCCGGCTCTTAAGGCCATCAACACAAACGTGCCGGGCGCAGCCGAATTGTCATTTGACATTTTAAACTAAGCTTGCTTGTTTTTAATTTTACCAGGTAAGGCCCACTGAGCTATATAGCTCTTTTTTTTCAGAAGCGACCTTGCCACAAACGATAGGTCAACGAAGTGGCTTATCACGTGGATAATTTATAGCAGCCAAATACTCTAAACGCATGATGTTGATTCTAAATATGGATTGAAAAACCGGAGGACCCGGAGAAAAATCCACGCAGACACCAAATATACAGAAGGCGTCAGGGTCGGCATCGAACCCACGACCCCCAGCATACGAGGCGAGGTAGTTAACATCTCGCCGCTGCCGCGCCCACTTTCAGCCGATTGATTCCGAGCAGCAGAACGGGTTGGCGACTCGCCGGTCAGCAGTTGGGTTTATCGAATCGTCTCACCCCGCGAAGTTCTTTGCCGTCGGCGGACGAATGTTCACGCGATGAGGGTAGCGACGTCGCCGCGCGTCAGATGTCTCTCCCGCCGAGCGGAGGTTCTGAGGACAGAGAGTGGAGCGTCGCCGTTATCTTCAAATGTCACGCTGCGATTACGTTGGTAGGCGCGATGGGCACAGGCAGCTGGCAGCTTTGCCCCCCCCCCCCTCGCGTGGTCGATCGCCAGGGGGCTTGACGGCCGACGTGCGGCGACCTCCGCCACTTTCGCAAGAGCAGCGCTGCGCACGCCTGTGTGTTGTTGCACTTATTATTTAAACCGCCCGCGGGTCATCGATTACAAGTTCGCGAGTCGTTGGCGACGAATTGTCGCGTCTTCTCCTCGCACTTCGTGGAGCGTGCCTGGCATGTTTGTTGAACGTGCAAGGTCTCCGATACGTTCAGATTGTCGCTGGGCGTCGCATGGTTCAGTGGTAATGAATACGGTTCGCAGGGGCCCCATCGTGAGAGTGATGTTCAACAGTGAGCGGGGGCGAGAGGCATTGGTTAGACCTCAACGCTAGGGGCTCAGTACGCCGATGCACAAAGTTTGTGTTTGCTTCTGGGAAATGCTCGTCAAGCCTATGACGTGTATCATTCTGAAAGCTGGCTATCTGGAATGCATTCCTTGTGACTTGCAATCATCCTGTCAGGTTCCATGCATTCGTAAAACAGACCGCTTGAGATGCAATCATTTCCTTCTTGATTGGATTTAAAAGCCGTAGTGGGCTCTTCGTTGCAACGGGGGCTGCTGCTGCTGTCCCTGCGCACGTTGCATTCGTGGCTTTTTCGTCTGCAGAGGACACATGCTTTCTGCACCCCCGTCACTTTTGCTTATCCCGCTGAAACAGACGGGAAGGGACGTTTCTGCCTGCAAATGCAGAAAATGCACGCCCCCCCCCCCCCCCCCCCCCCCCCCCAGTGTTCCAGTTTACGCTTTTGGCCGCTGCACAGCTGAGCCGCGCCAGGGCCGTGCCGAGCCAGCCCGGCACGGCAAGGGGAGGCTCCCGGTTTGTTTTTCCACCGCAGAAGCCGTGACGTGACGCTGCGTCCTCGCGCCGTCACCGACCCGATGTCGCGCGCAGCGAACGCGTCGTTGTCCCAGAGGCAGGTGGTTCGGACGCCTCGCATGAGACCGGCGTGTATCACGGCTAGGCTCCGCACCGCATCGGCAAGTAACCGGTGGAAAACCACCACCCCTGCACCGTGAGGGCCCAGCTCTGGCTCGGCTCCGATGTGTCTAGTGGAGAAGGGCGTGTTGAGTATTTGATGCCGCTTCCGCACTCGTGCTATGCGGCAACGTGGGTGTGAGTAACAGCAGTGAGACATCTCTTGAGTGATGTTCATCCAATTTTTTGTGTAGTCTACTAAAAAAAAATAGCCTCGCTGTTATTCAAGAATATTTTTTTCGTGATCGATTTAGTCCCAAGATATTTGACGCAATTCATCTTGAGGTTTTTGCGTTTTGGAGGGAAGCGCAATGCCTGAAAAAGAACCCACAAATGCAGAGGAATAATCTTAAAGCAACGCGCGGATATCCTGTAAGGAACCTACTTGCTCCACTGCTCCCTACAAATAGGCATATTTCACGCTTCACGGCTCCATATCCACATAAGCCCCCAACTCAACCTCAGGATCGTTGTTTGGAGTCCACCTTAAAGTTAAAGCTTCCCACTATGTTTCAGTTGTAGCTTCTGATAAGTTTGACTGCATACGTTAGCTGTTCGTCCACAGCAGGGGACAGGTGGCATAGTGCCTAGCGCCGCACTGCGCTACGAACTCGGCGATATCAGTCAGTTTCGCGGCTAACATCGGTGGCGAGTGATTTCTGAATCGGTCCTGGGCCCCCGCCCCCTCCCCCCTTCACCGGCACACATCGACCAGCGTGGTGGAGCACGCTCCAAACAACACCCAGGCCTTCATCCAGCAGTGGCTGGACAAAGAGCTGAGAAGTATATTTTATGTATTCAATGAAGACAAAGAACGCTGGTGCGTGCATAAGCCAGCCTGTGTGTGTGTGTGTGTGCGCTTAGAGGCGCGGCACAAGCGGTAGCAGTGTGCGTGTGTCCGCGCGTACATTTGCACGTGCGTGCGTGCGTCCGTGTGTGCGTCCGCATGTATGTGTCCGCGAGTGCGTGTGTCTGTGCGTGCGCGTGTCCGTGCGTGCGTTGCACCCTTATTGTTTTGTTCTCTCTGGATTCTCTCTAATAGAAAAATCGGATTGAGCAGCAGCTGCATGAGCACTTGCAAGATGCTATGTCTTTTCTAAAGGATGTCTGCGAGGTATTCCGCGCTTGCTCTGCCACTCATCGCGCATCTGCCCCACACCCCCATTCCCCCACCCCCCCACCAACTCACCCCCCCCCCCACGACAACCAAATCCCTCATCTCCCTGCGGCGCCGTTTCCATCAAATTGGCGAGCAAATCGGCTCTGCGGGTCGAATAACGCATGCGCGGAACATTTAATCCGCCCCTATCCAATGAATGACGGGGCGTTCGTTTTTATCGCTACTATTATTATATTTGTCATCTGCATAAGGTGTTCTTCTAAATGTGGACAGGGTAAAAGTAAAATTACAAAGTTTAGATTAAACGTACACCACTGTTGATTTTTTTTTTACTTGATGGAAACTGCCGTTCGAGAAAGTCCTCCGTGTCCTTCTGATTGGCCTCCGGTCTCATTTGGTTTTCTCCTTCTGACTCCACGCCCTCCGTCTCCTCGTTGTTGTTATTGTTGTTCATCTCCGCGCCCCCTTTTCCCCCCACTCTCTTTATTTCTCGTCGCGTGGACTCTCTCCCTCTGCCCCTTGCGTGCATCTTCCGTGCATGTCCACGCTGTTTCCTCTGTCCACACCCGCAGTCCCCTCGGCCCTGCCCCGGGTCGCCCGTCTGTAAACGTCAACGTGTTTGTACTCTCGATGTACACAAGGTATTTGTGTGTCTCTACTCTTTTGTTGTCATTTGCCTCGGTCAGTTTAACATGTAGGCTTTTGCGACCAATATTATTCATAATAAAGGTTTTTGGGTTAGATCGCGTTATTTATAAATGTGTCGTAACCCTCCACCACCCGACACGGCCAATCAGCAAAAAAGTGTCACGTTGACAAAAGACAAATAGTTCACTACTTTAGCCCACCGGTGTGTTGAAGAGTTAATCCACAACATTTACAGTTTTAGTACGACGTTTCGCTGGTAATTACATCCAGCGTCATCGGGCAATTCGCCAGAATTCGCCAGAATTGCCCGATGATGCTGGATGTAATTACCAGCGAAACGTCGTACTCAAAAATTGTAAATGTTGTGGATTCACTCTTCAACACATCGGTGGGCTAAAGTAGTGAACTATTTGTCTTTTGTCAACGTGACACTTTTTTGCGGATTGGCCGTGTCGGGTGGTGGAGGGTTACGACACATTTATAAATAACGCGATCTAACCCAAGAACCTTTATTATGAAATTTGCCTCGGTGTTTCCTGACAAGAGTCCCTCGTAAGATGTAATCGCCATCATTTTTAAGCTTCGTATTTCTGACTATTTGGCCACTCGGTTTCAGACTGCCAACATTTGAGTTTAACCTTTACGGCTCTCTTCGCAAGGGAGACCTTTGGCAGAGCCGTATTACACACACGGGACACCGTGCATCCTCTTGCTCACGAGAGACTTGGGGACATCACTCATCTATGGTGCTGGGCCGCCTCTCGTGTGCCCTCCCGGCCTTCGTAGGTGCTGCTACTCGCTAACCGCACTTGCCCCAACAGTCTGTTAAGGCGATAGGCGGGGATCTTTGTCTTTATACAGTATATATACCGGTCATTTATACCTTTATTAGCACACATGCGTCAGGCATGTACGCGTAGAAGATGTTATTTTTTTGTTTCTCTTAAAAGTCCGATGCTAAGGAAAATCTACGGCATTGTTTGCAACGACGACAATGGTTCTGTGTGTGTCGTTGTCACAGCTGCGTCCCGCATCCGAGCGGGGGGATGTTGAATTGTTTCAGCGGACAACGCAACTCACTCGCTCCCCGCTTGCGTCTCCTCCCTCAAAACATTCTCTCGTGTGTTTAGTTTTCCTTTCGGGGGTCCCACCTGCTTTAATTAAAGGGGGGGGGGGGTTGACTAATTAAGGACTGCCGGGGGTCACCCTTGGAAAAGGGATCACGAATTTGAATGTGCCCTAAAACTAATTAAATATGACATTAATTAAAATAAAGGGTTGTGATAATATACATATATATGAATAATAATCAACAAATCGAGGGGTGTGCGGGGGGGAGAATCTCGGTGTGATTTGGCCGACTGGTTCTGGGCTGTCTTCCATCCTGTGCCTGCGACCGCCGCTGCGAATACCATAACCACGCAACACCACCGCCAATACCATTACCACACAACACCACTACCAATACCATTACCACGCAACACCACCGCCAATACCATTACCACGCAACACCACCGCCAATACCATTACCACGCAACACCACCACCAATACCATAACCACGCAACACCACCGCCAATACCATTACCACACAACACCACCACCAATACCATTACCACGCAACACCACCGCCAATACCATTACCACGCAACACCACCGCCAATACCATAACCACACAACACCACCGCCAATACCATTACCACGCAACACCACCGCCAATACCATTACCACGCAACACCACCGCCAATACCATTACTACGCAACACCACCGCCAATACCATTACCACGCAACACCACTGCCAATACCATTACCACGCAACACCACCGCCAATACCATTACCACGCAACACCACCGCCAATACCATTACCACGCAACACCACCACCGATACCATAACCACGCAACACCACCGCCGATACCATTACCACGCAACACCACCGCCAATACCATTACCACGCAACACCACCGCCAATACCATTACCACGCAACACCACCGCCAATACCATTACAACGCAACATCACCACCAATACCGTTACCATGCAACACCACCGCCAAGACCATAACCACGCAACACCACCGCCAATACCATTACCACACAACATCACCGCCAATACCATTGCCACGCAACACCACCGCCAATACCATTACCACGCAACATCACCGCCAATACCATTACCACACAACACCACCGCCAATACCATTACCACGCAACATCACCGCCAATACCATTACCACGCAACATCACCGCCAATACCATTACCACGCAACACCACCGCCAAGACCACAACCACGCAACATCACCGCCAATACCGTTACCACGCAACACCACCATTTCCAATAGCGCCACCACTGCCAATTCCATCACTACCACTGCCACCCAATACCACCACCACCAATATCACCACTACCAATACCGCCACCACCGACAATCCCACTCGCATCCAACATCATCACCTGCACCACCACTGCCAATACCACCGCTAATATCGCCACCGCCAATACCAGGACCACCAACCGCACTACTTCCAATACCACTTCCATCCAACACCACCACTGCCAACACCACCACTGCCAACACCAACACTGCCAATACCACCACTGCCAACACCACCACTGCCAACACCACCACTGCCAACACCAACACTGCCAATACCACCACCGCTGCCAATGCCACCAATACTATCAACACAATTGATACCTGCCTTGTATATCATAACAATAATGCACTTGCGTGTGTTTGTGTATAAACACACAAGTGTCTGTGTTTAAAGTACGCGCGGCCAATAACGAGCAGCAGGGCTGTGCCCGCTCTCAATCAGTCTTCGCATCACACTCCACAGGGAGGTGAACGGCCCGATTCGCTGATGATGGTGGCGGCTGTGTAGATTCTAGACAGTTGTAGGTGTTGAGCACGAGACCTCTACAGAACGTTAGGCTGAGCTTCCCCCCCCCCACCCCCCCCCCCCCCCCCCCCCCCATGAAACCCAGTCAATCCTGCGCTGTATTTTTTGGTGGGGAAACATTCGACGAATTCTTGCCTGTGGGCTTCAGAGTTATGAGGATAGACTTTGGCAATAGTCACGTTTCATCGTTCACCCTCGGTTTGAGCATCATTAAAATTGACGTCAAGCTGCTTACTCGGCCTCTATGTAGAAGATAAGACTTCCCTCATGGCTTCTATACTTTGTTTAAACGGAGGGGCCCAGACACAACCGTTCTTTAAAATTCTCTCATTTTAATTTGTCGCAGACATTGGATTAAAAGCAAGAAAAAGACTGATCCCCCCCCCCCCCCTGCGCCCCAGCCCGGCACCGCTGCCTTCCCGGCACAGCTCTGCCCGAAACTCATTTGCATGCTGCGAACAAAGCCGGGCCATGAATTAGCTTTTCAAACAGCACGCGTCCACACAATCAGCCTTTTCAGAGCGAAAATAAATAAATCACCGGGTCCACTGTGTAAGCCTTTAAAAGAGACGCTGTGCTTATTAGATTGTTTAAAAAAAAACGTTGGGAGAAAAAAAATACACGGCTGCGGCGTACGTATATATACATCTCCGTTTTTTTGTTGTTGCCGGGAACGCTCGGATACACGCCGTCTGTGTTCGAGGCAAGGGAGGACTTGCGGCTGTAGCGCAGAGCTGTGGCAGATTACTACGGAGCTGTCGACGCAGTAGCAGAAGAAGGCCGGGGGCCCGGTTACGCGCGGCGTTACTTTCTCTCGGCCTGCGTTCTACTCAACGGCCAACGAGTTTTAAAAGCCGCTCACTGGGGCGCACCACGTGGCCAAGGAGCCTCACCGAGCGGGTTGACAAAAACGGCGAGTCGCGAGGCCCGCTATTCTCCCGCTGCGTGGACGGCGGATGAAAAGTTGAGCGAGTCCCGCAAGACTAAATGCATGGGCTTCGTCGTTGCTGAAACACGGCGGCAGCCTGCGACCAGTACAAACGCGTCTATTGGTCGTGGCACGCGTACGCCTGCGGCCGTAGCGCAACGGCAGGAGCCCGTTAGCCAAGGGGGTCGGCTGGTACCGCCTGGGTTGGCAAATGCTCCCAGTATTCCTCGTGGGCGGTGTCGACTGTGGACAATATCCCGAGTGGGCAGCTCCACAAAGAAAGTATCCCCCATGGGCATTGTTCACCATGGGCAGTGTTTACCATGGGCAGTGTTCACCATGGGCAGTGACCACCATGGGCAGAGTCTACCATGAGCAGGGAGCTTGGCACACATATACCGTCAGTTCTGTAGACAAACTCGTCTAGACAAACTCATCTGTTCTCTGAATTCCGTGGGTGTTTCTAATGTTGTCAGCTGTCCCTTTCGTCTTGTGTAGAAACTGAAACTAAACTATTTAAGATGTTACCACGTAAGGCCCACTGAACTATTTAGTTCTTTTTCAGAAGTGACTTGGTGACAAATGATGGCTCAATTAAGTGGTTTATCACGTGGAAATTTATAGCGGTCAAATAATCTTAACGCTTATTTTTAAATGTTGAGGGAAACAACGGAGGACCCGGAGAAAAATGTATGCGACCGTGGGGAGAGAGAGAACACGTAAAACTCCAACTATACAAACATCAGTGTCGGGATTTAACCCACGACCTCGTGCATACCAGGCGAGGTAGTTAACATCTTACCACCGAGATATGAATGACCTCGTCCGTTAACTACCTTGGCCGTAGAAGGAGCTCTCATCGATGGAGATGGACATCCTTACTCTTCCCCCCAATGATGTAAACATCACTTAGCTGCAAATCGTTGCTTTAAAAGACGAACGTTACAGTAGTGCGGTGAGTTTGACCCTTGGCAGCACAAGCCATCACCGGCTGCACATCGAGTGAACTTTTACAAAACATAAACCTGGGCGGTTGAATTACCCTGTGGTTGCCGTGCTTTCTCTAGAGCCATCGGATTACCTCCCTTAACCCCCATGGCCGTAGGTGTCGGTCGGTAACGTTGATATTTTTTGACGAAACATCAGAGACCTACATTGCAATGTTGGTTTTACATGTCACTGTTCCTCACTCCACCTTCCGTTGAGTGTTAATTAATTTTAAATCCCATTACAAGTACCCTGTTACCGTTTCGCTTGATAAGTTCATCCATTCATCCAACATTGGTTGTCTATGTTCCACTTTGGGTTTATGAAAGTGTGGCCAGAGATTACTCTAAACTCAATAGAAACGCATTTATAGTATTTATTTGAGTTTTTGGCTGCTACAAAATTCCGCACGATAAGCCACTTGGTTGAGCTATCATTTGTGGCGCAGGTCACTTCTAAAAAAAAGAGCTATACAGCTCAAGTGGGCCTTCCCTGGTCAAATAAATTAACAAAAATGAAGTAACTTCGTTTTACTGAACATAAAGATGCACGATGACGGGACAGTGCACGGCACCACGGCGTAGTAATTTAAAGTAGGCTAACTTTTTGACACGCGGTTTGTTCGGCAGAGGCCAACGCACACGTTCGCGGTTGCCCCCCCCCCGCGCTCTGTCCTCAACGGTTCTTCTCCTTCCTCTCGCCACCTTTCCCCCGCCCACGCCCGCGACCGTACCGACCAATAGCAGAGCAGGATGGAGGAGCGGCTGGACCGATTGGACGACGCCATCCACGTGCTCCACCGCCACGCAGTGGGGACGCCGGGGCTGCCCGCGACCCACAGCGGCATCCTCAACGGCCTCATGGAGGGGCTGGCCGCGGGGGGATACGGGCCCACGAGCGGTCTCGGCCCTGCAGTCAGTCGGCACACGATGGTGAGTGCGGCCGCCGCCGCTGCTGCTGCGCTCCCGTTCTCTCTCTCTCTCGTGGTCTTTGCCCGCGTGCGTTGGCTTGGCCACATGGGGAGCGGTGGCACCGCTGGCCATCGAACAAAGACGGGCACTGCATCGCTCTGCGCTTTCAGGTGCGCTTCTGCGGCCGTCTGGAACGCCCTTCCGTCTGATATTAGGCAGCCACTGGCGCTATGCACTTTTAAGTCATCTAAATTGAAAACTCATTTCTTTAGAACTGCTTTTTGTGTTTAGCTTGTTGGCCCTTCCCCCGCACCTCCGATTAGCACGGTTGGCTACGTACGGTACGAAATAAGTTCAACATACACATGTACCCTATCAAGACGCCACGTAGCTCCTACGAGCCGAACGACTTTAGGGCTTGCCAGTTGGTAGCAGGACTTGGCACGGGCCTCCTCTGTAATTATGGCAACGATTTTGAGGGGGGGTTATCTAACCGTATTTCACCATGCCGTTCATTATTGTGGGTTGTATGTATGCATATGTGTTCAACTTCTTTCGCACCGTACGTAGCCAACCATGCCAATCGGGTTGGTGAACGCAGGGAGCATAGGCGAGGAGGTGGATACAGGAAGAGGCAAAGCGGGAACGGCGGAAACAGCACAACGCTGCAGCCCGACTAACTCATCCAGTCCCACCCAACCCACTCTTTCTGAACACGCGTGTGCCCGAGCTGCAGCAAAACCTCGTCAATCCCAGATGCGGTCTCTTCAGCCATCTTCGGGCGCACAGATAATCCAACTTTTCTCTGGAAGGCAATCGTCATCCTCGATTGTAAGGGATAGCCTGTGATGATGATGAGACGTGGAGCAGATCTTTACAAGTTCCTGCACTGCCCCCTACCGCCCTCATTATAGTTTTTATGCAATTGATGATGACCCCCGCCCCCTTGCCCCCTTGGTTGGAAATCCTGGACAGCACGCACGGCTCTGAGCCTGGGTTTGAATCCTGGGCACTTGTCCAGAAACAAAACTCGCTCTTCTCGAGCGGAGCGGAGCTCATGGTCCTCAGCCCAGTTTAGCGGCGACGAATGCAGGAAACACTATCGTTATGTTAACATACTTGTTGTTTGTCCTTGTAGATTATCCGAGCTCAACTCTTGAGGGCCTTAATAATGTGCGCCTCGGTGCCCTGGCGGAACACTCTGTTGAGAGCAGCGTGCATAACGGCCCTCGCAACGGCACACATAAGAGAGCTGCATTGGGGAAGCAGCAGGAAGCTTTTTTTGTGTCATCGTCGTGATCGTAGCTTGTGCTTGTCACTCGGCTGCTGGTCGGAGGCCGTGTCTAGAATGGGCATCTCTTGCCATGTGGTGTGACGGTCAGCACGCTTTGGAGTGTAAATGGTGGTCAGTGACTTCCCATCATCTCACTCTCGCTCACGGTTGACACGACCATTGGGCCGTTGTCATTTGCAGTGCTGGCCCCAAGTAATTGGTGAAAATTCTGCTTGCCCCATAATGGAGGTTTTTGGGTTGAATCGCGTAAATATAAATGTGTCGTTAAACCCGTCACCACCCGACACAGCAAATTAGTAAGGTTTGTCACGTAAACAAAATATGCCAATTCGTTACTAGTACAGCAACACCGGTGTGTTGGAGAGTAACCTCGCAACATTTACAATTCGAGTACGACGTTTCTCTGGTGATTACAACCAGCATCGTCAGGCGGCAGCCAGAGTTGTGGAGAAATCCTCCTCCTGTTTCGTTCTAAAATAGGGGGATAAATATGGTGTCGTTACTCGTGTGCCAATCATGTGCGAAGGCCAAATTATGCTTGTGTCTGTAGGAATATTAAATTCAACAAACAACGGTTGCGTAGGTCTCCGCGAAACTAGGTGTGTCAAACTAGGTTTGTCAAACTAGGTTGAATGTCATAGTGTTACGGGACAGTGAAACTGGTAGGAAAATGTTCTCGTGGAAATGCAAGGGGCTTAATCGGCTTCGAAGGTTGGTGCCACTGTGCGTTTCACGCTGTCGAGTTTATTTTTAGTTTATTGGTAGATTAACTTTTCTGCAAAATGAATTACGGTGCTTTCCGCTGCAGTCGACTTTCCACTCTGGAATGGGCTTCAGCGGCTGTGCGCGCGCGCGTGTTTGACCAGCAGTGCAATGGAACAAGAAAAGCACCGCGCTACCTCTGCCTGCGTGCCGAACATTTAAAATAACTCAGTTATACTACCTGCGTGTGGGGGGCTGGGGGTTAATCTGATAACCGGGGCTGAAAGTAGTTTAAATAAAAAAAACGTAGCGTATTCTCGTAATAATAATAACAACAGGCTACGGGGATTGTTTTTGCCGAACAACACGAGAGAACAGTTCACCCCCCCCCTCCCCCCATCCTGTTTTCAACATTCAGAGGCTCGTGCCGGAGACAGGAGCCCTAGGGGCTCGCGCGCTTGTGTGGTTTTCACATTCCTCTCTTTTTTATTGTTGTTGTTTTGGTGGGCTGGGGGGGGGTGGTGGTGGTGGTGGTGGATGGGGCAACACCTGTCGTGGTCTTGTCTGCATTCCTTGCTCTCTTACAACCGCGTGCGGGGAAAACGAGAAGAGGTTGTGGGGGGGGTGGAGAGTAAAAAAAAACACACAGAATGGCCTTGTGCACTCGACGTGCGTTGCAGTGCTTGCGTGCGCCTGCTGCCGCCGCTTGTGAAAGGCCATCTTTGTCACGCACGTGTGTCACGCACGTGTGTCTGTTGAACTTCTGTTCGCACCGTCACGTAGCCAACTGTGTGTGCGCACGCGCGCGCGATTCCTGCTCACGGCCACCAACGCCAGTGACTTATTATCTGAACCGGTTCTTGGCTTTCCTCTAGGTGGACTAGGCCTCAAATGAGTACCCGGTGCGGTGTGTATACACGGAGACAAAGGCAGGCCGGGCGTGGTGCTGGCCACCCACCCACTTTGTGTGCCTTGCTGGCTTCATTACAAACAGCACTTCCACCATAAGTCTGCTGTGGCTATATGGGGGATCTTTGTACGTTGTGTGTGTGTGCGTGATAATATAGGGAGTGGGCGGCGTGTTTATGAGCAAACTTAGCGACAATCATAGCGACCGAGGTCCGATTGCCGGCCATAAACTCTCTAATCCCTGGCCAGAGCCAACCCCAGATCGACTCGGCCTAATATCTGTGCATTGTGTCGTCTGTGAACATCGGCGCTCGGGAGACGGACGGAGGTGGTGACGTCTGGTTTCTGACTCCACCATCGTTTTTTTACTTCTGGCGTCCTTGGGTGCCCTGATAGACCTCACTGCTCCATGGAATCGTTTTATATTTTTGGTCTGGTTGTTGTTGCGCTGTACGCATATAAATGCGCATGAGCAGTGCCAATTCAAGTTGAATTTGTTGAGCCAGCTGATAACTCTATAGAACCAGGATGAGTCTTTTTTTTGTTCAACAAAGTGACCTGCGGAGGCATTAGTCTGGCAGTAGGGGGCGATGATTACTGCTGTGTGTGATCCCATAGATCAATAACCCCCAATAAATCTATCGCGTTGATCTTTACAGTTAAATGGTGTTGGGGGGGGGAATCTGCCCTTGCGTGTCCGATAGCCGGGCCTAATGCACCGCCATTCTACAGCACGGGTAGAATGTTGTTAGACTTGGCGTACAGGACGCGTGGAAGCTGGGGGTCGAACCCAGGGCAAGGGACGTGATCAGTCCCAGCTGGCAGACGGGGCACGCGTGATGCTGGCCTCACCACCACCGTAACAACCTTAATAGGCGCTCTCTAACAACGTGCGCTCCAAAAGCCTGAGCGGTTTAACAAAGAGATCTTTGTTTGCGCGTGTGTGCCAGCGCGTATATAAACAAGCTGTGTGCCATTTGCCAAAGGTTAAAAATGTCCCTCTGCTGTACTCTACAAGCCTTTCACAGCCTGAGCGGGGAATGTGTACACATGTGCTGTTTACACTGGGTTGGTCATGTAAATAGATTTAATAAATGAATTAATACTAATAATGTGTGACCTTTATAATCATGTGAGAGCCCATTGTCGCAGCACATCTTTTGTAAGGCTGACATAGAATAATATTAACAATACCAATAATAACCGTTATTAGCCGTGAATAATAATAAGTAGAAATATAAAGTAAATGGCGTATCAATAGTAATACGTTACTTACGCATGATGGAATTATGCTTGTCATATCCACACGCCCGCGGAAACACACGTACATTCTGTTGATGCGTAGCCCCGCATGTGAGTTGCACCATTTTTGGTGGTACTGGTAAGCCACAGCAATGGGCATTGAGTGGGCAAGTGAGCACCTCGCTAATAGTAAAACTTGGGGCTGGTTGTGGCCACATTTCACTTGGTTGTGCTTTGTACCACAAACTAATTTATATTACTCAAATGAGATCACACAGCAGCAGCAGCAGCAACATCACCCTCTTCCACTGCGAAAAATATATATTTTTTTTACCAGGTAAGGCTCACTGAGCTCTTTTTCAGAAACGACGTGGCCGCAAATGATAGCTCAACAAAGTGGCTTATCATGTGGAAATTTATAGTAGCCAAATACTTTAAATGCATGTTTCCAAATGTGGAGGGGAAAAACCGTTGGATCCGGTGAAAAATCCACACGACCACGGGGAGAGAGACACGCAAACTCCAAATATACAGCAGGCGTCAGGATCGGGATCGAACCCACGGCCTCCTGTGTACCTGGCGAGGGAGTTAACGTCTCCTAGCCACAGTGGAGCCCAAAACTTGGCAGGACCCTCCGGAAAAAGAGTCTTGAGTATTGGTGGTGAGGCTTTCCTTGTGTCAACAAGTAGAATAATAATAAAACAATAACCTTTGCTTTTTTTGCATGCGTTAATTTGGCTGTTTATTCACATTTGCAAATGTTTTTGCAAATATGGTCAGATATAGTAGGCACGGCAGCTTCATTTGCTTGGCAGATCTAATTAAGGGGGATGGGGGGGGTGACATTTGTCCTGGCATTCATATTTATTTTACT